ATATATATATATACGGCAAGGGGACTCTAAACCCATTATCCGTCTACCATTATGGATATTTTACGTCAGCACTGTGGTCGAAGCCGGGTGCAGAATTCGTATCGACCAGCTATCGCTTCGATTCGAGCTTGGTTCACCTCAATGGAAGGCGAGTATTCTATCCTGTGAACCCTCACGACTGTGAATGATTGTTGGCAGCAGTAGTCAAGGGAAGGAACTGCTGCAAGAAGACACAAACAGAAGAACGAAAGGATTCCGTTCGCAAACGCGAGTGAGAAGCCCGTCCTTCTCAAAAGTAACAAAGGGGTAGAGAAAATTGAACCCTACCGAAGAGAGAATGGTGGCTCTCCGAACCCCTTTCAATCAAATACGAGAACTGGGTGTTGATCCCCAGTTCGGGATAAAAGGATCCATTGTCAACGTACACAATGACTTGCACAAGACCGTAGACTGTCTTCCACGCATTGTAAATGATTCATTCACTATTCATGTAAAATTGAAAAAAAGCCTAGCTTTCAAATCATAATCATGTATGAACTTGTGAATTCGAAAGGGGTCTATGAGGCAGCTTACAATCTTCATCAAGCACTATTGTACCAATCCGAAAATGTTAATATTGATCTCGATTGGAGTCATCAAAAGAATTTACACAGAATGTGTCTGAGCTGCATTCAAATGTGTCTGTGAAATTGTGTACTGAGCAGTTCAGGATTAACAGTTAAAAATGTACAGGATAAAAACACAATAAAGTTGCTTTTCCAAAAAAAAAAAAAAAAAGACAAAAACCATTTTTGCAAATGGGTAACCTGTGATCGCCCTGGGGGATCACAATATTTTTTTTTTTTTTTGAACTTGCTTAAAGTGTTTTTGAGATATAGTGAAGTGCGCAAAAAGGTGAAATTATTACTAAGGGGTCTAAGCTTTGGACCGCTCTCCTTACCAAATTTTTGGAACCGTATTTCCTAAATTGCGGCGACCCCCATTTTTCGTATGTCAGAAATCCAAATTCAACGAAAAAAAGTTATGTTTATTCAGAGAAAGTACGTTTTTGTGTCTGGTTTCGAAAATTTTAAATATCTAATTAATTTGCATTTTTGAGCTTACCGTTTTGAACCATTGATAATGAGTCCTAGCACGAAGGTCCGATCTTTAGATCGAAAGTTATTTAGGGTGGTCAGTTTATTTTTTGTGCACTGTACCACAGAAGAATTATAATTAATAATTTGAAAGTAATCCGATGATACATCTTCTGTTGCACGGAATTTTCTATTTGCTCTACGACATTCTTTCAACCGTTATATGTTCTAAATTTTGATTGCAATCACCTTGTGGCATTGTTCAGACGAAGTCGCGATCCTGTCTCTTTTCCCATTTCGGAAGGCTAACTATTGTCAACCGAGTTCTTGTGTTGTATATACGAAGGAACCTAAATACAAGATTTCGCACTTCAGATTAAATTTCGAATCATTTTGAAAACATTTGTTGGAGTACTTGAGAGGTATCTGATGTCACTAGTAAAATGGTTGTCTATTTTTGAGCTCTTGAAGCATGCTGTCTGTTATTTCCTATCTATGTATTTTTGAAGCGGATGAAGTTTTTAATCAGATAGTATCTTACTGCTCCAGTTTCGTGGGATTGATTATTTATTATAGATTATGCTATTTTATACAAGAAAAAACTATTGAAATTAAATGTGATTATAAAAATATTGTTCTAGTTCTCCTCTGAGTCTTAGGATGAATACTTTCAACAACAAAAGTGTGCCACTTTCTGTAACCTTAAAATAATTTTAAGAAATTAAACAATATTTTCATATAAGTTAACTCTTTGTCGCAGAGATTTTATTAAACGTATATTTCATAGCATTTGCATTAATTTAATTCAAAATAAGTTAAATATATTATACATATCATTTTAATAATTTATGATTCTGAAATACAGCATGAATAATATTTCATTCGTTACTTCATATAATATTCAGATATGAAGCATCGAATGAAATATTAGACATGTTCATAATATTTTTATTATATTGAATTAATTTAATTCAAAATAAGTTAATTGTACGATATTTAGTCTTTTATTAATTTATGATTATGAAGTATTGCATAAAATACCGCTGTCTTTAGATAAAATCACGATAATAAATCAAGATAAAGATATATATTTAAATTTGTACTTAATTGAAGTTACTTAGACCCTAACACGTTCACGCCGGGGTGACCCACCGGTGGGTCGCTAGATTGTCTCATCTTGCCAGCCCACCGGAGTAAAAACTGGTAACAATAAATTTCAATTTTTTTGTTTTTTCCGGGAATAATAAAAATCCATAACTACCGAATGCTTTTAACGGATGCAATTTTTATTTTGAATTGCTTCTTCGCCGTGATAAATTTCCTTACAGTGAATTGTTATTGTTGAGAATAGATTAACGTCTCCCGAATATTATTTAATATTGAAATAGTTCTTTTACCAGTATTTTCACTTTTCCCGGGCTGAACGTGTTAAGAGAAGCAGTAATTCGTCATCGAAATTAATTTGCGAAATCAGCTATTGATAAATTTTTGAGTATGAATGAAAAAAAATGTTAACTACTTTATTTTGAATTTTATAGTTTAGAACAAATGTAATTTCGAGAATCTAACAGATTATTTTAATAACTATTAGACTGTTTTTCTACAATTTAAAAGTACCAAAATATATTTTTGCTTGTAATTAAAGCATCAGAAAAAAATATATAAAAGAAACAACGGAGTCCCTTCTGTGTCTAAGGGTTAGTATTCTGTATTACGTAATCTAATTTTAAGAGGATGTTTTAGAAACTAATTGAATTTAACTTATTATCGTAGAAAGGTTGCTGCGATATTAATTGTTCAACACACTATAAATTTAACAGCGAAATTGAAAATAGAAAAAAAATTGATTGTAATTGCAGAAAAATTTATCATAATTGAAGAAAAATTTATTACAATTGAAAAAAAATGTGAAGATGTGTGGTATAGTTTAAAATTAATAAACTTATCCAATACTAAAACTGTTTTTAGTGTTTATGATGTTTAAATTTTAAAAGTATTTGTTTTGAATTTTCCGTAGGAAACTATGCAGGTCTCAAAGATTGTGTTGGAAATTTTACTGACTCAGTACGTGAGGAGTACCAAAAATGTGACATACAATGCAAGAAAGAATGCGTGTAAGTTGTCCTTAAAATAAATTACACATTTATCTTAGTTTATAATTTGAAAAATTAACCAGTGGATCCCAAATGATGTTCCTTGAGACTGTCACAGGGGTTCCGAGATATAAAAATTTTTCAACCAAATAAGATAATTAGATTAATTTTTTTTTCCTGTATTCAAAACCTTTAATTATTTTTTGAATCGAATTTGCAATAAGTTATTCACTTAATATTTTCGTTATTTTTATGAAATTATTTAATTAAAATGCTTTTGAAGAAAGAAAATACAAAGCAATGTTTTTTCTTTCTAATTACAATGTAAAGACTGAATTGTAAAAAAAGTATGTGCATTTATAAAAAACTTCATTGATATTTCGTGTCGAATGAAAATATTCAAATTCAATAATGTACAGGTATGATTCCATTCTAAATATGATAACCATTCTATAGAAATATGATAACCATTCTATAGAAATATGATAACCTTTCTAAACGTTCATTTTCGTTTTTATTTTAACGAAAGTCATATTTCAGCAAATTCATTTTCGGTATATGCACGCACTAAAATGAAATTAACTACTATACTAGGTACCACTGTAGACTTGAGAATTCAACCCTCTGATATGAAACTTAATCTTAAAACTAATCTTGATGAAATGATTTCATTCTCCATTAATTTACTTTATTATTAATAAAATAATAAATAAAATTTGGAACGTTACATATTTTTCAAATTATTTGATATTCTTTCAATCAAAGAATGAAACTGATTTACACCAATTCAGAAAAGGACAAAATAAGAAAATAACATTTGAAATAACATTTAAAATAATAACTCATAATGGAAAAGCACTAAAATCAGCTAAAACCAAATTTGTCTTATTTTAATAATTTAGAAAGCTTGAAACATAGAGCAGGCAAAAAGATATGTGTGTTAGCAAAACAGCCGGGGGACACACTGTCTGCCAACATACAGGAGCCTTTCTGTCGGGAATGATAATACCAAAAAATGGCTGTACCTCGAAGCCCCATTATGGATAAACAAAATAAGAACAAGCAATTGAATAATCAAAAATTGAAATGTAAATGCAATGAAAAATTAATGAAATACAAACATAATTCAAAAGTACACGGAGTAACACCTAATGAGGAAACGCCCACCTATAAGAAAAATAAATAAAGATAAAGTTAGAATAATCAAATCAATATAAAATATAAATTACCAAATCTTTAAGAAATAAATCAAGTGTTGACCCCTTACGAAATTCTCAAAAAATAAACCAAATACATTCAAGGAGTAAAGTTTCAAAAAAGTGCTGCCATCTATATGCTTCAAGAACAAAAAATCCTAAATTTCACCGCATAGGCCTATTTATGTGGGCTTCAATATCAGCCGAACTATTTGAATATCTTTAAAACACTTAGACTTAAAAAATATAGTTACTCTAGTTAAAAGGAAAATTATTATTCACTAATGTGACTTTGGAATTCTCAATGGCTAAAAAAAAAAAAACTGTTTTATAATTACAAATAAATTTAAACCTTACATTTTAACCGATCAAAATATTCTTGAAAATCTTAAAGTATAGGTTGGAATTAAAATGTGTTAAACTAGTAACATTAAATTTAAAATCTCTTCTTTTATCGCATAATCCGAGGAAAATTTTTTGGTTATGATCTTTAATATCAAGATTTAAAAAATTAGCTCCATTTTCATCTGAATTAGTCAGTTCAAAAAATGTAATTTAAAATTATACAAAACACAAAATTTCCTTTCACTCATTTTTTATATTGATTTGATTATTCTACCGTAACCGTACCGATTTGATTATTCTACTGTATATTATCGTAACTTTATCTTTATTTATTTTTCTTATAAGAGGGCGTTTCATCAACAGGTCTTACTCGGTGTACTTATAAATTATGTTTGTATTTCATTGCATTTACATTTCAATTTTCGATTTATTTTATTAATTGCTTGTTAGTATTTTGTTTATCCATTATGGGGTCTCAGTTTTTAGTATCACCACTAACGACAGAAAGGCTCCTGTATGTGTCCCCTGATGAAGTGATGTTTTGCTAACACACATAACTTCCTATAAATAAATTGAACATAGTCTGGCATGCAAAATTACATGACGAACGTACAAATGTATTCATATAAACAATTCATATGTATAATTTATATAAATAATTCATTAAAAAAATTAATTGAAAATAATCTGACATGCATAAATGCAAACAAACATGTGCAGCGACAAAAAAAAAGAAGAAAAGTTGAGAATCACTAGTCTAGTATATAGACGGCACAAACATTAATATAGAAGAATAAAAAAAAAAAAAAAAAAAAAAAAAAAAAAAAAAANGACTCCGGAAAAAAAAAAAAAAAAAAAAAAAACAATTGCAATATATATGCTCGGTCGCTGGATCCATTTTCCCCACATCCTCTGGTGGGTTATCCATTCACCGGTGAATCGGAGAAAATGAACAAGCCCATTAAGTCGCCAATTAAGTGTTTTCGCCAATTAAGTCAATTAAGTGTTTGCATGAAAAGTTTAAGTCTTACAACTACGTAGAAAGTGTCGCAGCTCTATCAATCTGCTGAAATTTACAGGAAAATTTCAACAAATGACAGAAATATTTCCTGTATACATGCTCAGAATATATAAATTCTAACATTTTTTCCCTCCTGTTAGCAAGAGCATCCTTTTGTTTGTAAAATTTTTTTCACGTATTTTTTGAAATTACAGTGTTATAATTTATCTGCATGTTATAATTTATCTGGCTCTTAGAAAAGTGCTGGATTACAAATTAAATTTCAAAAATGAAACATTTTTTTCCTATGTCCACTCGATAGACATTCGTCATTCAGGTATCAGTAGAGCAGATTTGTTGGCCACTCTCTCAGGGGCACCATATTAGATGGACTGACGTTGCTCCCGCAGGAAGGACAGATAGTACAGAGAATGAAACAACATCGATCGATGTTGTTTCATTCTCTGTACTATCTGTCCTAGGTATAGATACCTAGTGCGGGATACGAACCTAGAATCTTTCTGATATCCGTCAGAGAAAAACAAAACTTTTCAATAGGTATAAATAACGTCTACTTCGAACACTATGCGTCCCTGCGCCTACTCGTGACAGCATGTGATATAATAATAATCATTAGTTAAATGATGTTTAAAATGTGCGAAATTTCATTTTCCTCAAACTTAAAAAACGAAATTTATAAAAGAATTGAAGCGATTGGGGACGAATTCTATATTTTCTTTTTGTGACACTCAGGAAAACGGGATAATTTGAAAGACTGAAATCTTTGGAAGTTCCAGCAATCAAAAATTTAGGCCCAAATGTGATAAAATCGTAAATTTGGTGAATAAATTGTGTTTTGACGAAAGTATTAGGGAATGATTTTTTTTTCCACTGGAAAGAAAAATATATATTTAACTCGATCCTCAAAATTTAGTTAAAATTAATTTTTCTAAACAAATCAGTATTTTTTTATTCGATTACAGTAGTTTTCGGCAGATGCTCTACATAACCAATTAGAATTGGGTCCAAATAATGCAAGCCATAAACAAAGTACCGTAAAATAGTTTTCTATGGGAAAAAGATTAATCATAAAAAATTGTTATGATTTGTATTTGGCGAAGACTTTCGAAAATTGGCGAATACTTCTGATATTTGACTAATTTACTGGCTAATAATTAGAAATTCTTCGCGGCCTGTCAATGGCAGCGAAATTGTTAATCATAGAGTATCTGTGGATCTCCTATAGCCTAATCTGCCTATTGATCTACTAGAGAAAAAAAGGTCAAGCGAGGCATGCCTAGATCTCATAACGTAAAGATTGAAATATAATTGTTACAATACATTTTTTTTAAAGAAATGTTTTGTTCGATTCTGAATATTAAAATGAAAGGATCATCTCGATAATGCATCCAAATGAGTAATAAAACAAATCTCACAAGTCTTTATTAAAAGCTAAACAAATAATTAACACGTTCACGCCGTGTGTTGCGCCTGAAAGCGGGATGGAAAAGATGAAAAACTGGTAGAAGAATATTTCAATATTAGATAATATTCGGGAGGAGTTAATTTATTCTCAACAATAACAATTCACTGCAAGGAAATTTATCACGGCTTGACTTGATATAAAATATGATGAAGTACCTGCCCACGGCAGCGGGCATCTCTCTTCTTGGTCTAAAATATTTTTGCCCTAAGGCAACGGTGACTAATGGCGTATGAAATTGAATAAATTTCCACAGATAAAAATCTGCGGTCGTCATTATTGGAGGTACTCCGAGTCTATGTCTTGGGAGCTGGGAGTAGGGAATGGAGCAGTGATACTAACTCCGCATCTTTTAAAAGTTCTTGTAACCCCCTGACTATATTCAGGAATCTAGCTGCTGAGCTGGCGGCATTCCGATGTTGTTTCTTTCTCGGTGTGGATTTTCTCATGGGTCTGGATGGGCAGCCTGAAAAACAGGCTGTGTGGTCACTCTTGCAATTCACACAAGTCGGAGGCTCGCTCAAGGGTTTCGTGCATAGATAGGAATAATCCGCTCCCGCGCATTTCATGCACGCTGGCTTATCTGTGCAGTCTTTCTGTGTGTGTCCAAATCCTTGGCACCTGTACCACTGAATTTCCTGGCGGCCGCCACGAAATCTTTCCACTCGAACAGGTGTATCCAGCAGTTTGAAGATTTCCCTGTGCTTGGGAATATCTGTCAGGATAACAAGGAAGAAGGGGAGGAGCTTGTAGTCTTGGCCACGCCTCTTTCTCATCTGTTCTGTTCTGATTGGCCGTAGTCCCATGTCTGAGAGTTTGCTTTCGAGATTCACCATTTCGATGTCGATGTTAAGTCCACGTACGAGGGCTTTGATTTTTCTGGCGGTGGGCTGAAGAGTATTTTTCGGATCAGGTGAACTAGCTGGGGTCTCAACTGTTGCCGGGGCTTCAGTAGTGGCTCCGAGCTCCATCTGTTCTTCAAATTCAGTATCCGCCG